ACACCCAGTGTTGTATAGGTATTTGAGGTAGGCTAGCAGGCAGGTAGGCACATAGCTAATGTGTATCAGCACTTAGAATGAACCATGAATAATTGAAATACAACCATTTACATCATATATTAAGCCAGTAAGAATAATGAAGATATGAACATGATGCATAGGCTTTAACAATATTAAACACAGGATGTTGGATGGAGGGAAATCAATAGTGTGAAATAGAGGTCATAAGTGGAGATGAAAAAAAATGCTGACACACAGAATATCTGATAGTACATACGTAATAGTAAAATAATTCCAGGCCTATGCATAGATGGACACTAACACGATGATATCGTATAACCTGCAGAATATATAAACACAGAGTAATAGATAATGTTTATAAACACAATGTGGCTAATCAGAACAAGGACCTTTGCTGTGAACCATCCACTATTGGATGAAGGCCTCCCCAATCATCATGATCTATCTTATACAGAAACAATTATCCAGCTTTCTATCTCCTGCATAGAAACTTATCTCATTGCTACATTTATCGATTAGCACGGTTGGTTACGTACGGTGTGAAAGAAGTTCAACATACGTACGTACACACCTGGACAACCTCAAGAAAGTTCCTTTACTTTGGTTGTCACTTTGGTATTCTCACGACCGGTCATCATGCCTTCCAGCAAGGGGACCTGCCCAAGACCACTTTTATGAACAGCCAATATGACGTCTCTAACTTTCATATATTCTCAAATCCACATGTTACTCTTCCTTGTCCCCAAGTATAATGCCAAGTGTGAATCTCTCCATTAAAAATATACAAAGCAGTCGCAAAGGGACTTGGCAGACACGGAAGGAGGGTTTATTGTCCAAAATGTTAGCCATACTCTGTTAGTATGGCTAAATGTTAGCCAGTTACAGATTTTACTGTTGTAATACTGTTAATTAAACACTAATTATGTTTCAGATATTGTTGTGTACTCCTACCAACACAGTTACTTAATTTCTTCTTAATTTCTTGCAGGCAGATGGACACATGACTAAGATACTGTAGATACAGCAATGAAAGACCCACAAAAGCAATACATTACTAATCAAATAACAGGTTAAGAAAATAGGGTTTGCGTTGCTGTCACTGAAAGGGAAGAAAAGATCGCAACGTTTCAGCTGACAAGTCTTTAGGAAACATGAAGCGATACACAAGAATTCTTACAATCCTGGAAATGGTAAGTGGGTTCAAACATTTTGTTTGATGGCCAGATGGCAAATTAACCAGACACATAAAGGGAAATACACGTAGAGCCCATTTGCAAATTGACTGCTGGATGGATGGGGTGGGCCCTCTCCACGCTATGGAAATCATCTTGAGGGTTATAGGACAAGGCGGACACAGACGTAGGGGCACAGAAGTACAGTACAGCAATGGATTTCGCTGCACTGTTCTCTGCTGCCCTACCATATGGAGCCTGTTAGTCTACAACTTGTTTGTGCATGGTGGTCATCCATCCAAGTACTATTGAGGTTAACCCCTCCTTATCATCCGAGATCTGAGATCGAGCATTTTCCCGCTGATGTATGTATGTATGTTGAACTTCTTTCGCACAGTACGTAGCCAGCCGTGCTAATTGGACGTGCGATCACCGTCATTAACATGTTTTCGGCATGGCAGTGCTATTCAGTGTGATTTGGTCAAGCGATCCCCAATGGCAAAATGACTCGGCACCACCACACGGCGATCCTATTTACCTGCTCGAAGCCGCCACCTTCGTCTGGATCCATGGGAGGTCCCAGTCGAGGATGAGCCAGGGCCGGCTCCGTGGCTGAAGCAGAGCGGGGTCGAAGCCCCACACCTCCACTCTGCTCCCGCGGCAAAGACTCCGCTTTCCTGTGCTGCTGCGGGCTCGGCCTTACCACCGACGTCGCCGTCGGCTGGGCCAGGGTAGCAGTGGTTGTCGTGGTGGTGGTGGTGGTGATGGCAGCGGTGAGCGCTGGTGGTGGTGGTGGCGGTAGTGGCGCTGGGTCCAGCTGGGTCGGTCCCGAGCCCCGTTTGCCGGTGCCGCTGCTGCGTGGCCTCATCTGCTGCAGCACCCGGTTGAAGGCGGTCTGCCGATCTTGGGTGCCCGCCGTGTCTTCATCGGCCGTGGGTGGCACAGCCGATCCATCCCGCTCAGACTTCTCGTCCGACTCCTCGCAGTCCGACTGCTGCAGCAGGTGCTGCTGGGAGTCCGAGCCGCTTCCGGGGGCGAATCCTACCCCTCGGCGGGTGAGAGGGGACGCCTCGGCGAGACCGGGACCCGTGGCTTGCGCCTGAGCCTGGCTCGGAGTCTCCAAAATTGGCGTCGGTGTCACCCCGCGGTCTTTTGAGCGCTTCCGCGGCTGAAAGAGCTGCTTGAAGCCCTGCCCGAACAGCGTTGCTCCTGCAGGCCCTCCTCCTCCACCACCACCAGCAGCTGCTTTCCCACCAGAAGCCACAGATCCTCCAGAAGATCCGACGGCTCCGGTTGCTGATGCTGCTGCTGATGCTGATCCAGCTCCACTTGCTGCTGCCTCTGACCCTGCCGCCGTGTCCGGGTCACTGGGCATGACCTCTCCACCTCCATGGCCCAGCTCGGCAGAACGAAATCGCTTCATGGCACCCAAAAGCCACTTCGCCTCAACTTTTGAGCCTCATTTAATGTTAATGTCGCCTCATTTAGGAGCTTACTTTTCCTTTCGTTTATCTCCCCCGTGGGTGTGTGTGTGGTTTTTTTTCTCTCTCACTTTCTTTCAATGGTAATTGTTAAGCAATTCTCCTCGCCTCCTTTGCCTGTGTAAAGGGCTGCTGCCACCTACCTACCTTACCAACCCTCACGATTTAAGAGGCGTGGAAATGCGTGTCAAAGTGCAACTTAAATATACAAATAATGGAAGTCTCCTTTATGGCGAGAATCAGTTGTCTTAAAAAAAACTATTTTGTTAGTTTCAGTTTAGTTTGTTTTAGTTCAGCTAATTCTAAGAAGCCCGTACTTTAAGTTTAATCGCTACAGTCGGTGGTAGGTGACGCTCTTTATACGCCAACAAACCAACCTAACTATATTAACAAGTTGATAATGTAGTACTCTTAATAAGCAGCTCTGCAAGGAGAACACAAACAAGCACAGCAACAAGAAGAAAGCAAATTAATAACACGAAACAATCCACAAACCACCGCGCGCACTCAAAAAGAGCCTGGTCCCACACAAACACACAATCTGCTTGGGCCACCTCCATTACCACCACACAACCACCACCACCAACACAACCGCTGCTAAAATCAACACAAAACAGCTCTACCGAACCTGCAACAAAGCGCAACAACTAGAAGAAGAACAAGAAAAAAAAACAACTGCCGGTCATTTTAATAACACAACAAGCCCGTCCACCCCCATTCCCCTGGATCGCATCACACGAGCACCGAGTTTTGCCACAACATCTACCGGCGAGCGTTTGAAGCCCCAAAATGTGTTTTTGTTTGCGAGAACCAAGCGCTCACCTCTCTCTTGCCTCCCTCTCCCTGCCGCCTCCTGCCACCGTCTACGCCGTGGCCGCCCTCGCTCGGCTTCTGCAGCTTCTGCAGCTCGGCACGACCACGACCCCCAACCCCGTCGGGGGTTGTGTTGGTCGTAGTGGTGGGTGGGGGAGGGCATTTAAATACGACGTCTCCAATTCCCTACGCTGCATAGGCGACGCGCTCCGACGTCTCGTGGCTTTCTATTGGTCGGCGAGCGGCACGCGCCACGTCGCCGAGCCAATGGGGCGCGAGCTCGCGGCGCGTCTCGGCTTAAGCGCGCTGGGAAATGTAGCGCCCCTCTGTCGGAGGGGTGGGGAGGGGGGGGTAGTTAGTTTATTATTTATTTATTTGTTCGCCACCAACTTCCCGGATGCGGTTCGGGACGTAAGAGCGGGGGGGGCGGGGCGGGGGGGGAGCTTTGGCCAATCGCAGCGAGGCTTGTTGACGCGCAAGCCAATCGTGTTGGAGCTCCGGAGTGACGTCACCTGGAGTTGTGGGGCGTGGTGATGGGGGGGGTGATGGGGAGGGGTCATGGGAGGTGATGGGGGAGGGTGGGGTGGTGATGGGGGGGTGGTGATGGGGGGGGTAGGGGGGTGAAGGGGGGGTGGTGATGGGGAGGGGTGATGGGGGGGAGGGTGGGGTGGTGATGGGGGGGTGGTGATGGGGGGGTAGGGGGGTGAAGGGGGGTGGTGATGGGGGAGGGGTGATGGGGGGGAGGGTGGGGTGGTGATGGGGGGGTGGTGATGGGGGGGTAGGGGGGTGAAGGGGGGGTGGTGATGGGGGAGGGGTGATGGGGGGAGGGTGGGGTGGTGATGGGGGAGGGTGGGGTGTTGATGGGGGGGTAGGGGGGTGAAGGGGGGGGAATATGATGGGGGGGTGCTGGTGATGAGGGGGCGGGATTGTTGTGTGATGGGGGGGAGGTGATGGGGGTGTAATGGGGGGGGGGGGGGGTTAGCGCTACGCTGCGCTACAAACCCGGGGAACCGAGTTCGAATCCCGCTCACGGCCAACACCAGTGACGATTATCTGAACCGGTCATAGGTCTCCCCTAGGTCGACTCAGCCTCAAATGTGTACCTTTTAAGGTGCGTAAACATCGCAGCCGTGTCGACAAAAAAAGGCGGAGACAAAGACGGTCGGGCGTGGTTCTGGCCACCCACCCCCTCGTATGCCGTGCCGGCCTTCATATAAGTGCTGCTCGCTATAACAGCACTTGCCCTGTTCACAGGCTACACGGGGGACCTTTGTCTTTGTCTTCTGGTCGGGGGGGGGTTTGACGGGAGGGGGGGTTCCGCCCTTAGTGATGCGCGTGCACTGCCGTTGCATTTCGTAATGCGGATAGGCTTCGGCGGTCGAGTGGGGGGGGGGGAGCTCGCTCGTGATTGGTCGTTGTCGCCCCCCCCCCCCCGCCTTGCGTCTGCCTGAGCGGCGTCCTCTGATTGGCGGACGCCGCCGCGGGGCTGCTTAAGCGCGTTGGGGAATTCGAAGGCGGGGTTTCGGCCATTAGCGGCAGTGCAGTGACACGGGAGAGGAGCCGATCACCACCAACAACCCCCCCCACTCGCCTCTCTCGAGCTTCAGCAGACCCGCCAACACTCGGCCATGAACGAAGATTACGACGTGATCGTGCTGGGCACGGGCCTGAAGGTAATGGGTGAAGGGGAGGGCGAGCGAGAGAGATGAGAATGAACGTAGCCGCTGTCACGCCAACAGGGCCGTGTCTGAAAGGGCCTCCGTGCGAGCCCTTCCTGGAATTGAACCCAGAATTTTTTTTTTTGGTATTTGCGACGTCTGCTCTGGGCTTCTTTCGTTTTCGTTGTTGCCCGTGTTTTGTGTGGTTGTTCACGGGGTTTTTTTTTAAGGCTCCTGCCATGCTGCGTTGTTTTTTTTTTTGCGTGTCATTAGTTTCGTTTATCCGCCACTAAATGGTGTACTGTACTGCGCGGCCTTGCGTGATCCCAATCACTTTGCACGTGACCAATCTGGCCGCACTTCGGAAGCTCGGCAGATGTTGAGCCTGGATAGTGCTCGGATGGGCGACCGCCACACGGCCACGTACGTTTAGGTACGTGCCGCGTACGTCGTAAGTTCATTTCGCACCGCACGTAGCACCATGCGTGCTGTCATCGGAGGGGTGCGTTGGCAAATGAGTTTGTCACGGATGGTGGCGGCAGCAGCTGAGATCCATTGACGCCGTACATTTCAAAACGCTTGCCACGTTTTTGTGGTGAAGTATGGTCAGATAACAACCGTGACCCGCACGGCGTGAGGAGGCCCCTCGTCCCTCATTAGATTTTAACAAAGGGCGCTCGCTATATGTACTCGACTGTGAAATGTCAAGTGGGTGCTCGTGTGACAACGTTGGCAATTCACGGCTTTCTGTAGTGTCAAAGGGCACCGCTGAGATTTGTTTTAGTTTAGAGCAAAATGAAGCCGTTAAATAGCAAACCAAATTTTACTCTGCCAATTTACATCTCAACCATTTAAAAATCGGATTACTTATTCTGGAGGAATCCGATGAGCTGTAAAGCTCTATTTCTCATGTCCAGTAGGGGTGGGTCAGAACGTTACAACAACAAACAATACAAAAACATGATAGATGAGTGCAAAGTGTAGCAAAGGTAAGCAGATTTTTTTTTTTTTAAACGCAAGTAACCATAACGCCGCTTTTGCGTTAAGCATGAATACACCACATGGACAATGTGGAGATGTGTACATTGTGGTATGTATTTATATTCTGAAATCTAATGCCACAGTTATTTCATGGCATCTCCACGAAAAGCAATATATGGCATCTGAAATACAGCCGAGTCAATTATATTTCCACAACATTCAGCCCATTGTTTTTTGGTGAATTTCCGTTTCCTGTTGCTTACTTGAGTGCGAGGTTTTTTTTCAAGTGGACAGAGTACATTGTTTATTTGTGCTTTGTCAGAATTTTTTTTTTACATAACCCTGTTTTTGTTAATTTTGTTTTGAGTTTGATAATCCTCTTAACTTTAAACAGTGATAAATGAAATGTATTCGAACGTGGTCCATTATGATTGCAGTTTTGTGCCCATAAATATTTGTAACAATTTAAATATTCGTGGTTTTTTCTCACTCAAACAAGGAAGTTTCAAGGGCTAAAATTAAATATCCTGCTTTTTAAGCCAATTTTGCTTCACAGTGATCATGGGATGCAGAAGCTGCAAAGTCCACCTGCAACCAGGCAGCCATCATTTCCTGCATGCGGCAGAAGCTTATTATTAACCTACGTTGTCATTATGGCAACTCAACATTACGCAAAAATGACTGAAATGCACGCAAGTCAACGACATGTCACTTTCACCTGCACAGTGACTGAATACATAGGTTACACTATCGCAAGACACTCATGGTCTCAAGAAATGTTTCTTGCAATCTAGAAATGCTGCATGTCACAAATCGTCATGCATGTTTAAATGATGTGGTTATATTTGTATAAACCATAGTCATGTGGGCGTTTTCAACACATCTTAATGATATTCTTAGGTTTTTTCGGTAAAGTCACGTAGGTAAAACATTAAAATTAATAAAAATAAAATAAAAAATCACGACGTTTCGGAGGCAACACAAGCTTCCGTCTTCAGGTGGAACCGTCACAGCCACGACAGCTGTATCAAGTAAATGAGAGATTACAAGAGCTACCACTCCGTATATATAATGGTTGGAGAGGGGGGAAGGGCCAAGTACGGCACACTTTTTATTAATATGGTAAGGTGACACAGCAGCGGATGTGAGTGTGAAAGCGATGGGTATTACCTTGTTATCTCGGCATCTCTTGAGGAAGGCCAGTGTCTCGAGAAGCTGTGACTTCTTGTCTCGTCTGTTAAAAACTCTAACAGATAGGTGGAATTCCTCCCCGTTTAGGCATGAGCGGTGGTGCAGTGGTTAGCTTCAACCTGTTCTAACTAACGTGGTGAAGTAAGTTCAATCAAACCCCCAACCACTGAAAGGCATAGGGAGGCCTTCACCAGCAGCGGGTATGTACAGGGCTGTACGAAACTATTTTCTGTCTGTACATCAAGCCAAATACCACCATGTAAATGTGATATGTAATCATTGCAATGGCACCTCCAATTAGCACGGTTGGCTACGTACGGTGCAAAAAGTTAAACATATACATTACATCTTCTTGGTTCTTGCGGTAAAGTCACGTAGAATGGAAATAATAAAATAATTACATATATCATAATGAAATAATTCTCACGACGTTTCGGCCACAACGCAAGCAGCCGTCCTCAGGTGAAGGCCAGGTCTGTCGGGGAGACAGTCTTCACCTGAGGACGGCTGCTTACCGAAAGAACCAAGAAGATGAATCCCTGCAGTCACGAAAGCTTTAAATCGAAATATACATTACAGTACAACGTCCACATATCCAACTCAGAGCGGAGATTTAGGCAGATATGTGACGGTCAGATATGTGTACATCTATGGAAATGTATAGTTGAACCATGTACAAATTTCTTGCTGGACTAAAATGAAGTGTAAATTACTTTAAAGATGAGAAAAATATTCACCGTACTGTAGCAGTGAATGTATGCAAGATTACACATTTATTTCTGCACATGAAATAATCAGATTTGTGAACATCAATGGAAAATGGCAGTTGCATCATATGCAATCCTGCACTGGGCATGGGCAGTTAATTGGTCACAATGGATATGTGACTGTCGGATATGCGACGGCGGACTGTATAACATACCATAAATGTACACGTGTGCATGTTCTTCTGTCCAGGAATGTATCCTGTCGGGCATCATGTCGGTGAATGGGAAGAAGGTGCTGCACATGGACCGCAACTCGTACTACGGAGGGGAGAGCTCATCCATCACCCCCCTCGGAGATGTCAGTATGCCATCATCATCCCTGCCACAACCTCCAGCTTTGTAGCCATAAGCTTTATTCAAAACCACGCTAATCTATAGAATGGCTTAAATGTGGTTGTATTTCAAGACATTGTACGAAAATCAATACGTGCACATTGTTAGATAATGGTGAAAAAACATGGGCAATTTATTTATATTAGAGTATCGTGATGGGCAGCAAGTGGGCAGTGCAGAAAAAAAATGTTCTTGCACTGTTCTACGACGCTCCCACCTATGCTTCCCATGAAGGGGCTTGGCATGACATGAGATTAAAGGCGGCTTAGCCAAAGTAATCCATCACCCAAGCCTCCGCATGCTGTGTCATGCTTGTGTTGTGAGAACCCAGGGTGTTGATTTTGCCAACTTGTACATTTAAGGTCATGACAGAAGAGTTGTTTGCACTATGAACCCAGCGACCTTGGGTTTGATTCCTGGCCACGGCTAGCATCAGTGGTGGGTTGTATATGAACAGATGGCAGGGCCACCATTTCACTGGCCAGCACTAACCTGATTGGTGAAGTGTGATCAAACAACTTATATGACCAACATGGTATGAGGTGGCCTTCAACCAGTTGTAGATTCACAAAGAACTGTCCACATACAGATGAAGTACAACGTTGTCATTCACGTGTTTATGAAGCTGTAACTCTCAGGATAAAGAGTGTAGCAGAGATCTGTCGTGTTGTCATGTTGTTGAGCTATCGTCTGCCTTGTTCAACAGCTCTACAAGCGGTTTAACATCCCTGGGGAACCCCCAACCTCCATGGGGAATGGACGTGACTGGAACGTGGATCTCATCCCCAAGTTTCTGATGGCGAATGGTACAATTGCCAAAGTTCACGTGAAAACATTAAAATACAAATTTTGACTTGATGTTAAATTCCAAGAAATATTTATATATGCTTGTGTTGTTCATTTTTCAAGTCATCTTTTGCCATTGATGTCTACTTTTTTTTTTACTTGCTGGTGTGCAGTAATTATTTGACCGAGTATCCCTTGCGAAATACACTTTGGTAACAATTGGCAGGTTCATAAGTAAAGGTCAAGTACTTATCCACGTTATTCCTGGTTTCTCCTAAACTACTCTAGAATTTGATGGGCAGTATGCTTATTAATTGCCCAGAATGTAACTGATTGCATTAGATCTCAAAAGTAAAGCCAGGTTGAACCTGGATGGTGCTTGGATGGGTAACCACTATTCACGAAAATGTTTTTATATATCCAGCTGCAGGGCTATACAGTGATCAGAATAGGACCGTGCAACAACATCCATCGGGCTATAATCCCACATCAGTGCTTCCCACCTTAACCAACCCGAACTGACCATCGTGGTGAAGTATGTTCAAATAACTCCAATTAACCGCACAGAGTGGGGAGATTCTCATCCAGTAGTTAATTGACAAAAGGCTAAATATGTACACGCTATTACGAACGTACTGACACGTTTGTCCTGGTGATAGGTCAGCTGGTGAAGATGCTGCTGTACACAGAGGTGACTCGTTACCTGGACTTCAAAGTGGTGGAGGGGAGCTATGTGTACAAGGGCGGCAAGATCCACAAGGTGCCTTCGACGGAGACAGAAGCTCTCGCCTCCGGTGAGTACCGTGATAAGATTCCTTGCCGATGACCTTCAATCCATGGTTCTAGTAATTGAATCTGCTCTGTCCGATGCCAACTTAAAGTGCTTGTGGAAAAAAAAAATTGGCATTCTTTTCGGGCATCGGTTTGTATATTTTGTACATTTGTGAAGCCCAAGACTAAACCCACCTTGACTTTGCCCAGTCTCATCAGACCTTGGGAGTTAAGTAAATTTGAGCCTGGATAGTGCTTGGATGAATGCCCATCAGGGCTAAGTGGTAGAAAGCAGAGGTCAGTGCAGCAACTTAGATTGTTGTGCTGTACGTCTGTGCTCCCAAATCTATGCTCCACGCCGTTCACTTGCCTGCAGAGCATGGAGGGGACCTCATTCAGCAATGAAGAGACAAAGTGCTGTACATGCACCTCATTGTGACTTAAGTGTATTGCAATTTAATTGTCCTGAAACTGACATTTTCTAAGAAAATTTTACTTCGACCTTCAATCAATAGCTTCTAAAAAATATATTTTCGTAATTGTCTTTGAAGATTCTCTCGTACTGTTATTTCAGTAGGTCTCTTGATGCGTCTATTTTTTTTCCATTCCTTAAGTGATCGTGATTCAGCCCTTTGACATTTAAACAGCATCTTTGCCGTCATTGCCAATAAATGAACGCACTCGGCTGGTCTCCTCCATCGCAGGTCTGATGGGCATGTTTGAGAAGCGGCGCTTCAGGAAGTTCCTGGTGTTTGTCGCAAACTTCGAAGAGAATGACCCGCAGACCTACCAGGGCGTCGACCCCAAGGCGACCACCATGCGCGACGTCTTCAAGAAGTTCGACCTGGGCCAGGATGTCATTGACTTCACCGGCCACTCGCTTGCGCTCTACCGCACCGATGAGTAAGCGCTCTCGAGCGGTTTTCTGGGCTGCAGGCCATGGTGCTGTTGCCCGTTTGAGCGAAGGTCCCCTTTAGTGACTGCTTCTCTGGGTCGTCTTGCATTTGCTGTCGCGGATCGATACCCAAAAGCACTCGGCAACCACTTGATTGCCTTTGTCCTCGAGTTCAATCAACGTTTCCATTCCACGTTCCAGCTGCCGTAAAGGGGGGGGCAAGGTGCTCGACAATGTGAACCGCTTTTGCTTGGGCAGCTTTGAAATCGCATGTGGACTGGGTGGCACGCGCGACAAACCGGCGCCAAATTGGCTTGCCAAATCACCCATGGCCACACTCGTGCCTGATCGAAGGCAATCTGGAGCCTACGTACAATTGTAACAGACTTGTAAACGCAGATGTAAGTTGGTTTGATCAGAGGATTTTCTGTGTTCACTACACAAAAGCACTGAAGCATGGCTGTTTCACTTAGACACGGCTTGGTGGGTAGTGTTGTATTGACTGCCGCCTCGTTGAGGCTTTCCTGGATGAGTGTGAAGAAAGTCAAAGTGTGTGTCTGTGTTTAGATGCGTATTGTGTGATGCTCGCCTTCATTGATTCCTCTGAGCCACCTGATAAAAATTCCACATGCTCCGTGGAACAGCCACTGTGTACTTTTCACAAAATGATGCGTATTTTATCACCCCCAAAAAATTGCGGGTGGTAGATTAAGAATTGCCAGCAGTACGATTGTTTTAGTATTAAGGGTAATACCTAGGCAGGTCTAATTTAAATTGAATCGATTCTTACGCTGGTGATATATCTATCAGATCGTACGTGTGAGAAGCCATAATTTATTTAAAGCCAAGTAAGAGCCCATTGAGACTTAAGTGTTGCTGTTTCAAGGAATATTTGGGTCAAACAAAGTAATACAGAAAATGTGATTAAAGGTCAATAACACTCCCAAAAAAACCTCAATAATATCTTAACAAATGTAGTGTTTACCTTACTTGGAACTTTTGAGATACGTCTTCATTTGCAAGGATGTAAATGAGGAATTTACCAAGATAAATAATCACTTACAGCCCTTTGTCAATCCCCTTTTGGATAAGGACTCCATGCCTCATCAGTCACGGGGGTTGTTTGAACATTCTTCACCATGCTGGTCCTTGTGGGTTGACGAAGTAGGGGACTGTGATAAACCTGGGGGCAATTAAAAAAAAAAAGCCGGAACAACATTTACCCTACGGCTTGTCTCACCATAATGACAATAGTAGGTAACCTATCTAGTTACGTGTTTAAGAGATCATTCATGTAGTGGTTCTCATTTACAATGTTACATACAGTTCACTTAAACCCTATAGCAAGTATAGATGCTAAATTTACCACAATTGGCAATTAAATTGTTTTATAAATTGCTACCCAAAATTGTGACAAATCATCGTACAACAAGGAGTGAATGGTTACATGCATAGTAATGATACTGTGCCTAAAGGTCTGTTAATATAATCAACTATCGGGCGAGAGGTCCCACCCATGCCACATGGGTCCTGCGGGTTATTTGACCACACTTTGACACACTGAACACTATATATACACGCACACACATGTCAAATAATCCTGTGCTATGCCCACAGTTACCTTGACAAGTCTTGTCTGGAGGCGCTGAACCGCATCAAGCTGTATAGCGAGTCGCTGGCCAAATACGGCAAGAGCCCCTATCTCTACCCGCTCTACGGCCTTGGGGAGCTGCCCCAGGGTTTTGCCAGGTGAGTTTCGTGCACCCGCTCCGCTCCGTCACTTAATTTCACAAGCTCAAGGTGTCATTTTTTTTTTGCATAGTTAAAGACACCTCTGATTTTGAGAGTTTTCTTCTTTGCGAGATCAACACGTGCGATTGCCTGGCAGATTCACTTTAACCCTTTCTCGTTCCCGAGACGTCTGCAAGTTGCAGGGTGGGTGTCCCGTTCCCCCTCTGAATCTCGGAATCGGACGGAAAACTGATGACGTACACATACGTCAGCGGAATTGGAAAGGGTTAATATACAGTCGTTGGACGGGATATTGGTTCGGTGCATGTTGCCATCACATGCAGATAAGATCCATGATATGTTAAGTTTTCATGATCAGAGTGGTCAGGTGGCTCAGGTTAACGCTGAACTGGTACCGCTGAGATCCCGAGTTCAAATCCGAGCAACCGCATATGGTTAAATCGGTTTTCTCAAGCGTAGTGAGTATTTGATCTGGAAATCAGATGAGCTATGAAGCTCTTTTCACAGATGTCCACTGGGGGTGGGTCAGTCTCGGGCCAGTCACCAATGGCTGTAATAAACCATCACTATTAAATTTGTTTCTGAGCTTAACTTGTCTGTCAGCCCTAATAATTAAACATGATTGGTTTGACTAATATCATTACCATTACCCTCATGGCAGAGCGCGTAGGAAAATGCACCCCCCCCCTTTCTGTCGACCAAAAGTCACTTGAAGGCATCTCCGAGGTAGTTCTGATATTTGCTTCCATGGGCCGTTCTCTTCCCACAAGAGGGTTGACACTGCACTGTGAGCTATTCCACATGGATACTTGGTCTCTTGTAATATGACACCAATTAGCGTGATGCCACTAGAACAATCAGGATAAAATTGGATGGTAAATTGCTATCAGATGATATGTTTAACAGCTGTTCAGTGTCTTTGCCTTCAGGCCTGCAGCATCCACCCACTTGGGCAGGGGTCGGCAACCAACATAACAAGAAGGGCCATTTTTTTCCAATTCATTAAAAAAAGCAAGAAACATTTTTAAAGAGCCACCAGTGCATGTTTATAACGTCACGAAGCAGTCCTTAGAGTTGCACCTGACTCCGGAGCCACTGGTTGCCGACTCCTGCGCTAGAGGCATAAACCAAGTCCCAACGCTCGGGCTTGCTCACAGTCGCCGTGGGGGTATGACACGTGCCCGCTAACCGCCCGCAGGCTGAGCGCCATCTACGGAGGGACGTACATGCTCAACAAGCCTGTGGAGGAGATCGTCATGGAGAACGGGAAGGTGCTGGGCGTGAAGTCGGAGGGCGAGGTGAGACGCAGAGAACTCTGGGCTGGCGGTGGTGCGCAGAAAAAAAAATAACCACCGCGGTTGTCACCGGTGCTGCCCTTACACGAGATAATAATGTGCGCCACGTTAGCGAGATGCTAATTACCTCGCCTGGTATGCAGGAGATCGCAAGTTCGATCCTGACCCTGACACCTCAGATGAGCAGGTTGGCTACGTACGGTGCAAAAGAAGTTCAACATACATTAGTGCAGTAGTCGAGGCTAATGATGGGAGTGGCCTCAGTAAAGAGGGAACGTGGCCAAGGGGATGTTGAAAGTAGAGAGGAAGCGATGAAATCGGCTCGTGTGCAGGTGCTTAATTGATTGTATGCAGGTACATTTGGTAGGATTTGTTAACAAAGTGCTTTTTGATCGACTATGATTAAAAGCAATGCTTTTTTAAGCCAACAGAGGGCACCATTGCATTGTGCAGTGTATACTAATCGAGCGAAGTTGACTTGCGTGCTTCCATCTGCACAGTGACTGACTGCACACGAGTTACACTTTAACCTTTCATCAAGTCCTTACTGAAAGCGTTTACTGTAAAATCCGTGCGTGATGGATGTAATGACCCAAAATATGCACAAGTGAACCTTCTGACCAGTTGAGTGCCTATTGAGACTATAAATGTCTGCATGTGGAGTACAAAATAGTTTTGGTGCACAAAACCACGTAAACAGTCGTCAAAGTCAAGGAGAGAACGTAGTATGAAAAAAAATATAAAACACAAGTGATGCTTAGAACATACATGTCACACAGATTACATGGATGTCAATGGTTTACCTCCTGATATTGTAATTCAATAAATAACAATGACACAATCCAATGAGCGAACAAACCCTTCTACATCAGTTTCAAAAGGTGCCACATCTTGAAATTGAATAACTGTTGCTGTAATCTCTGGATTATAAGACGGTCCAGATAGTCAATAAAGTTACACAATACCAGTCACACATATACAAATATATAAAGACACATTCCCAACTTTTGCTCTAAATGACAGAGGGGAAAAGAGTGCATATTATCATCTGGATAATACTTGACTGATGGTATGAGACTTTACAGAGATGGTAGTGATGATTCATGTTGTATATCAGAATCTTTATTTAGACTGGAGGAATCCGATGAGCTAGGAAACTCTTTTTCACAGATGTGCAGTATGTATGTAGAACTTATTTCGCACCGTACGTAGCCACCCGTGCGAATCGGACGTGCGGGGGAAGGACAACCACTATAAAAATCAATGCTTTTTGTTATAGGGCCTTTAGATCAGTGGTGCACTGAGGGCTGCATAGGACCTTTCAATATCTTTGCTAGGCCATATATTCACACACACCTTGGCGTTATCCAAGTTGGCATTATCCAATAATAATGTGAACATAATTAGAACTTGCAAACACATCGACGTCGTGTTGGTGAGAGGGGACCATGTGCATGCACCCACACACACACACACAGTGCAGCCTTCGTGACCACAGAACAGCAAACAGAACATCCATGCCGACTGACTAATAGGGGGAGGAGGCCCCTGACAGTGACAGAAGTGACTGAGCGTGTTAAAATTAGAAATGCTGTTGCAGGTCAAAAAATTCCCCTCTAGGAATCGGTACAGCCAAGATGCTTCCAATGCCGTATATTTTTGGTGGGCCATTTAAAAGTGTTCATCTCTCTGCGTGGATTGATTTCCACAACCACGTTGTTTCGGCTTGCAAACCGCTCCTCTGTTTAAAAAAAAAAAATTGCGATTCGGTTAAAACATTATTTACGATGTCAGCAGTAAAGTGAAACGCTGATGCATCTTTCCCTTCGGATATAACAAAATATTGTTACCGTCTCGTGGGCAGGTGGCTCGCTGCAAGCAGCTGATCTGTGACCCCAGCTACGCGCCAGATCGCGTGAAGAAAGTTGGGCAGGTCATCCGCGCCATCTGCATCATGAGCCACCCCATCAAGAACACCAGCAATGCCAAGTCCTGCCAGATCATCATCCCACAGAACCAAGTCAACAGGAAGTCTGGTGAGCCCTTTGCACACTGTCCAAATGGCACCTTCGATGGAAATCCAGGGGTTCTTGTTCTGTGCACGCACCGAAAGAGATGACAACGGTCGTATCTGCATTTGCAAAAGTTAAAGGATCAGCCCCGCAATTGCTTTCTCGCACCACTGCTGGCAGAAGGGCTTCTGCCAGAGAGAGAGAGAGAGAGAGAATCAGAATCTTTATCTTTCACAATCTTTATTTAGACTGGAGGAATCCGATGAGCTATAAAGCTCATTTTCAAAGATGTCCAGCTCTAGAGAGCCCCTATGAGAGGCCACTTGGCCTACTCTTCCACGCGAGCGAGACGTCTTGTCAGAGGTGGGGATTACCCACACTTTAGCTGATGCGCCAGGAGATTGAATTGAATTGGATACCTCCGGATCGCAACTGAAATGTGCTTTCTTGATTTTAAGCTTTCGTGACTGCAGGAATCCATACTCTTTGGTTCTTTCGTAAAGTCACGTAGGTATAAAATAAAATAAAGCACGACGTTTCGGGCGCAACACAAGCGTCCGTCATCAGGTGGGAAATCACAGTCTGCTGCTGATGCAGACTGTTTTAAAAGGTTTGAAATGGGTGTAGCCCATTCTGCATCAGCAGCAGATCATGCTTTCCCACCTGATGATGGACGCTTGTGTTGCGCCCGAAACGTCGTGATTTATTTTATTTTATACCTACGTGAATTTACCAAAAGAACCAAAGAGTATGAAATGTGCTTGCTTTTACGCCACGGCAGCAACCCACAGTTTCGTAGGGCAGTGAGAGTGGTAGCGAGATTGAGTGGAGGCACCACTGGAGCGAACATGAACACAATATTATTTTTTTGTTAATTATATTATTCGTAGTATCCATTATTTTATCCACGTCTCACTTAAAAGAGATTTACATTTCGGTAAGTATAGCTCTCTTAACGTGTTTGGGCTTTAACTGTGTGTGGTTCGGCATGTTGTCCGACGTTTCGCTCTCGTGCGCTGGAAGCCTTTTGAGGAAAATGAACTCCGTTACAACCACAGCAAAACCGTGAAAATCTCCTGGCTGGTTATTTCTGCGAGTTGCCTCCCGCACGTTTGGTTAAACGCCTGCTTTCGTGGATGCTTGCCGACCGCATTTCCACAGCGGTTGTGGTTAGGCTGACCGTGCGTGGCATTCTCCCCCTCTCTGTCCGACCGACGGCAGACATCTACGTGTGTATGGTGTCGTTCGACCACAACGTGGCCGGCACCGGCAAGTACATTGCCATCGTGAGCACCACGGTGGAGACGAGCAATCCCGAGGCCGAGATCCAGCCGGCGCTCGAACAGCTCGACCCCATCGACCAGAAGTGAGCGCACAGACACACCGCGCTGTTCGTCCGCTTGTCAGCCAGTACGTCCGTCCGTCCGTCTTATCTGTCTGTCCGTTAATCAGTTTATTTGTCCGTCAATCAGTCCGATTTTTCTCTCGTGCTGTTAAACAGTTCAGCGTTTTAGTAGTACACCTACATGTGTGCGTCACCATCTCTCATCGTTGTCGAATATTGTGTTTTTGACTTAAGGCTTTCGTGACTGCAGGAATTCATATTCTTTGGGTCTATCTACGCAACTTTACCGAAAGACCCAAAGAATATGAACCTATCTCCGTGGTAGTCTTTGGGTCTTTCGGTAAAGTCACGTAGATGGTTCAAAGAAAATAACAAAAACCTACGACGTTTCGATCACAACACAAGCGATCGTCATCAGGAGGAAAGACTTTCCCGAAAGAACCAAAGAATATTATGTTTTTGTTGCACGATCTGCTGATGCCCCCTGTTCACTGAACATTGAGATTAGTAAACCTAATAAAAGTAAAAAAAAAAATTCCACAACTTTGTAAGCATTCTTGCAGTATGGCTACTCATAGGTGGCTGTTTGTAAATTGTTGTACCCCAAAAGCTCTTAATTGTAATTTCTAAATGCTCAATGGAAACAAACTGACATTAAATATTACAAAGACAAAGCAAATCGGTCGGGTAGCTAACTTTGCAATTGTTGTTTTTAAGGATAGGCTACTTCTTGCTGTGCCTGGGGATACGTTACCATTTTCACAAATTACAAAATCGCTAAACAGTCACTTATTGATACTTTATATGAATTCAGTGCACCAACGCAATTAACGTGGACGCGTTAAAGCCCAAGCATTTGGTGTAAGCACATGTGCATTAAGCTTTGGTGACATATGCGTCTGCTTATATCCGTACGCACTTTTGTTCAGTAAAATCTCTTGTCAAAATTGGAGCTCCCCGAATGGACCGGCTTGCCAGCTTGTCTATATTTCTACTGATAAATGCCCCTGTGGTGTGTGCAGGTTTGTGTCGGTGAGCGACTTGTACGAACCAGCCGACCTGGGAAACGAAAGCCAGGTGAGTTTGTTTGGCTCGTGTAGCTGCGGCCGTCTGGAACGCGCTCTTCCTTCCGATATTAAGAAGCCACCTGGAGCTATGCACTTGTAAACCATCTAGATTGAAAACTCATTTCTTTAGAACTGTTGTTTAGTTTGTTGTCCTTCCCCCACACCTCTGATTAGCACGGTTGGTTACGTACGGTGCGAAAGAAGTTCAACATACACACACGTACAAGTGATATGTAACGAAATCGGCAGGAATGCACCCGATTTTATAAGACCTAGGAAGCTAAGCAGCCTTGACCCTAGATAGTGCTTGAGTAGGTGTCTGCGCAAATACAATTGTAATAGGTATTATGGGCAGTCGAGTGCAGTGAAGTAAAATCCATCGTTTTGCACTCCCCACACCCATCAGCTTTTTAAAATATAGCAAAAATATCCTCAGTCCGTACGGCGTGGGTTGAGATCCTCCCTGTAGTGGATTGGGAGGAAATTAAGACTACCTGGAGCAAACCCACGAATCAAACTAATTAACTTTTTTTATTTTTTACTTTACCAGGTAAGGCTCACTGAGCTATATCACTTATCAGAAGCAACCTGGCCACAAGTGATAACTTAACGAAGCGGCTTATGTAGAAACGTATAGCAGCCAAATACTCTTAACGCGTGTTTGATTCTAAATGTGGAAGGAAAAACCGGAGGAGAAAAATCCACGCGACCACGGAGAGAACATGCAAACTCAAAAATATACAGCCGTCAGGGTCGGGATAGAACCCACGACCTCCTGTATACCAGGCGAGGTAGTTAATATATCACCACCACGCATGGAAGATAACTGAAAGGTCTACGCTGAAATGTTCCTCAAGCCTCTGGGCTGCCATCGCGTGGCCCCTGAGGCACAATGCAGCAGTTGGCAATGATGGCTCTGCTGTACTGATTATTCTGCTGCCTAAAATAATATTACCACAATTTAGAATCTTGGCGATAAAAAGCAAAAAGAAACACTGTGTGCATTACACACTGCAGTATGGCGACGTCATGTGACATTCAAGGCATGATGGGAAGACCGAACCCATGGTCACAGTCGTGCCTCTTTCTGTCTAGAAGTCACCTTGCGTTGTTGACTTTGAACTCTTGCTTATTGTCGATCGCCGACAGATCTTCATCTCGCGGTCGTACGACGCCACCACCCACTTCGAGACCACGTGCGATGACATCAAGGACGTGTACAAGCGCCTGATGGGTGTCGCGTTTGACTTCGAGGAGATGAAACGCAAGCACAACGATGTATTTGGCGAGGACAACCAGTGATTGGCCTCCCGTACGCTGCCGGCTCCCTAGGATATCCAACTCCACCCCGTCCCCTCTGTCTTCCCCCCACCCCCACGACCACTCCCTGCCACCACCACCACCACCATTGTGCCGCAGTTTTTATTGTAATTTCAGCTTCTGTTTGCTCGGCCAAGCTGACACACATTTCGGTAGCCAAAGCTGCCAGTGGTATTTGCTGATTTCATGAGTCGGTGCCATAAGCTCGGCCCAGAGTTCTTGTTGTTGCAGGCCTTGAACTCTCATTGCAGGGCTTTTCGATTGGCGTTGCTGTATTTCGGAAAGTGTTTAAAACGATTCTGTTTGGCAATTACAAGTGTCTCTTGAATAATTGCTTTAGAGTACATGAAATTAAATAAAGCAAAGTTTTCCAAGGAAGTGTAACAGTTTGGTATGAATCTTTTTTTTTTATACAATCATGATTAAGTATCTTCTTTTGCTTCAGAGGTTGGCTTGCCGAAGGATTATTCTCTTTTCGTAGCATACTCAACTGCAAATGTGAAGAGATCACAAACTGAATGTTCTCTCCGGATCCAATGCTCTCATCAATAAATTGGTTGCAATTGGTGGCTGTGTTCTCAGTGTGCCATGCTAGGGGTTGCCGTGGTAAATATTACAGCTATTATTTTTACAAGAACCACCTCGTTTGACCGATGAGACTAAAATGATGGTGGGAGGAAAAACAATCTCCATTTATTGACTTATTGTGCTGCATTGTTTCACTTGGTGATTAAAGAGTTCACCTTCTTGGGAGAAAAATCGATTCGTGGTATTTTTTGTTGTTGTTTGCAAAATAATGTGTTTTTGAATGGACACATACCATACACACGTGTGTTGTATATCATCATCCACGTTCCATCTCCTGGATGAAGGCCTCCCCAACGCCATCACCGGTGCTGCTACCATCAATCTCATGCACCACTATCACCAGCAACGTCCGTCCTGTCTTGCGAAGTGTCGCCCTACCCAACACCACTTATTCCATTGTGCGGTATTTGGCTTGGTTCATACTGGGCAAGTATTGATGCATCAATTGTTTTGTAAAACGATATTCTCACCATTCCGATGGATGCATCGTTATGATATATGCAAGTCATATATATATATAATAGGAAAGTTTCATTTTGGCAAAATAATAACTACAAATAAGACTTTGATAGGCCACAAATGAGACTGGTAAGGTTGACAAGAGGCGGCTTTTACTCGTGCCCATTTGCTTTAGGAAAAACTTGTGTAGAAAATGTCCAATAATGCATTCACTTTCCACACAATTCGGGGCCACTGCATTCCCTACGTAGCGGCATCGGTGGCCAGGGTCAGGTTATTTCCTTTCCAAATCCACAACGTGTAAAATAGAAATAGAGTTCGGTGTTTGGCAAAGCGCAGAGGTGCGACTACACATTGCTAGCCAATCATTCATTTATATAATGCTAGACCGATGGTGAAGTGCACTGCGCTATGAACCCGGCAAACCTGAATTCCGAGACCTGCCCATGGCTGAAAACAGTGGCAGGTGACATCTGAACGAGTCCTGTCGCCCCCCCCCCCCTCTTCACCAACCCGCGCGGACCATCAATGACTGAGAAGACATGGGGAGGCCTTCATCCAGCAGTGAATTTGCAAAAAGCTGTACCCTCCTGAATGCAAACAACAAAACGTCTTGAGATTCAAGCGACGTTTTTGTCGCCAAATAATCGACACCGATTACCTCTCAGTGATATCATAATCATTAACATTATTATCATGAATACTCAACTAAAACCCAAAAATTGCCAGCTAAGGCCCACTGAAATATATAGTCCGACGAAGTGGCTTACCATGTGGACTTTGATGTTAGCCAAACGCTCAAAACGAATGTATCTAAACGTGGAGGCAAAACCCCAGAGGACCCGGAGAAAAATCCACGCAAGCGTGAGACTAGAGACAAGCAAACTCAAAATATACAGGCGACAGGGTCGGGATCGGGATCGGGATCGAACCCACAACCTCCTGTACACCTGGTCGAGGGAGTTAACATCTCGCCACCGTGGCACCCCGATACAAAACCCACCACTCTCTGCCACTGAGACACGCGGGAGGAGAGAGTGAACGAGCGAACGTCCGCATCTGCGTCCGCCCAGCGCCTGCGTGCGCACAGAAGCAGACTGCCCCTGATGGCGGAATAATTTTTCCCCAAAAAAAAAAATCGCCGGAGTGGAAACTCCGGCGCAAGGCCATCGCTGCGGTCAGAACTGCCACGGTGGTGCAATCTGAAACCCCCCCCACTACCCCTCCACCCCCTTACCCCTCCACCCCCCTACCCCTTTACCCCCTTAACTCCCCACCCCCCTACCCCTCCACCCCCCTACCCCCCACCCCTCCACCCCCCTCACCCCCCTACCCCTCCACCCCCCACCCCTTTACCCCCTTACCCCCTACCCCTCCACCCCCCTCACCCCCCCACCCCTACCCCCCACCCCCACGTGGCACCAGACGTGAATGTGGCCGTCGACCCGTGCCCCCGTTCGCCTCCACAATGGGCGATTGTCTCGTTTTGCCGATGCAGCGACGACGATCGATTCGCGAGGAAGGAGCCAACATTGAAATGGTTCCACGTTTAGTTGCTTTGCATTGCGCCCTCCGCGTACACGCACATGCGCACGTGTGCGTGCGTGTTGCACGTGTGTGTGCGTGGTGCCTGTGGCGGGAGCGGTGGTGCAGCGGTTAGCGCTACGCTGCGCTACGAACCCGGGCATCCGAGTTCGAATCCCGCTCACGGCCAACACCGCTGACGATTTTTTGAACCGGTCCTGGGACTCCCTCTAGGTCGACTCAGCCTCAAATGAGTACCTGGTGCGGTGTGTAAACATCGCCGCTAGGGAGACAAAGGCGGCTGGGCGTGGTGCTGGCCACCCACCCCCTCGTGTGCCGTGCCGGCCTTCATTAGGTGCTACTCGCTAACAGCACTTGCCCCAACAGCCTGTTAAGGCTACACGGGGGGTCTTTGTGTGTGCGCGAGTGAGACTCGTCTCGTGTTCTGCCCCCTAATCATTTTGTTTAATCTGCGAGCGGCGATCGCAGTCGCAAGAGACATCGCTGCCAGCTCGGTGTTTTGTTTGGCAAAATTCAACACCAGTCGATTGTAGCCCAGTGGGGCGAGGTGGACTAACGGGGTCATTTGTGTATTCGTGTTTCAGCCACGTACAATGCGCTCCAATGTGGCTTTATATAGCGTCTCAATGCAACCACGGTTCGAGGCGCAATACAAAAACCAGTGGGTGCGTGGAGGGTAGTAGAGTGAGATCAGAGGGGAGAGGCAGGAGAGTGCGTGGAGGGGAGTAGAGTGAGATGAGAGGGGAGAGGTAGGAGAGTGCGTGGAGGGGAGTAGAGTGAGATGAGAGGGGAGAGGTAGGAGAGTTCGTGGAGGGGAGTAGAGTGAAATGAGAGGGGAGAGGTAGGAGAGTGCGTGGACGAGAGTAGAGTGAGATGAGAGGGGAGGTGAGAGGTAGGAGAGTGCGTGGAGGAGAGTAGAGTGAGATGAGAGGCACAAAGTAGACAGGGCTGAGTCCACGGTGAATATTTAAGACGGCCAATGTGATCTTAATATGAATCCAGAATTGGGTTGGGAGCCCTTGGAGGGATTGGGGGCGATGTGGTATCATTTGCGTGTGCTGGTGAGAAGTCTATTCGTAGAATTGTGGATCGTCTGGGATTTGGAGGTGAGCGATTTGAGGAGGCCACGGAGGCGAGAGTAACGGAAAAGGGAGTCAGTAAGCAGCAGCATCAGCAGGTGCAGTAAGGGAATGACGGATGCGGGAATTGTGGAGCAGAATGAGGTGGGAGGTCCTGCAGAGGTGGAATAGGTTCCGGAAAGTGCAGGAGCTCGGTTTCCATCAAAGACCACTTCAAGTTTTCACGCCAACTTAACGAGCGCTTTAGCAGCTTGTATGGGTGACCACCATGCTTAACACGGAGCGGCGTTGTGGGCAGCCGAGGCCAGTGCAGCAAAAAAAAATCCAGTGTTGTACTCTACTTCTATGCTCCCACACTAATGTCGCCCGCCTTTCACCAGCCCGCACTGACCAGCGTGGTGACGTGTGGTTAAATAACCCCCCGCGAGTCGCAGAGTGTGAGGGAGGCCTTCCTCTAGCAGTGGGCTGACCAAAGAGCGTGCATGTCGATGCACGTGTGTGATTGCCGTAATAACTAAACGCTCACATTGGACCCACGCTGTGTCCGTCTGACAATATGCACCTTCCCTGGATTCGCACGAAGAGCGAGGCAAATATTTTCACTTATATTTTTTCCTGTATTTCCCCCCCCCCCCCCCAAATGTTCTCCCATGTGTTTCTATCGGTGTCACGAGTGGCAGATTTGTGCCAAAAAGGCCCCACGGTGTTTAAGCAAAAATGGAATTGGATGACTCATTTCACGTAAAATTAAATCCTTTCGGATCTCTGGCATAAGCACCGCAAACCCTCTGCGTTAGAGAATCGCCCAGGTAAGTGGATCGCACAGAGCTACCTCGGAAGATCTCTTCAAAGTTACTGGGCTGAGACCATGAACTCACTTCACTTGAGAACTCGGTTCATTTATGGGCAGATGTCTGGATTTAACCCCCAAAAATATCAGCAATGCCAGCGAGCCTCACCCATTTTAGTTTTACAGGTTCCACATTTACCACCATCAACTCCACATTGCTCACTAGGCCACCACATTAACCTGCCTCTCTCTCTCTCGCTCTCTCTCTGTCCTTTTTTAGTCTTACATTTCACTCCCCTTACTGCTCGGTAGCAGGTTGCCAGTGCTGCCATAATTAACACGCACGGCATTGCCCCAGAAGGACTGGCACCACTCAATTACACGGCCACAGTTTGCAATCTTATATTTATTTCATGATTATAGTGAAGGGTTTGAAAGCTCCTCTGACTGCTATCCAACGTGTCCTTTCGTTGACCCAAATAAGTCAGGTATAAATGATTCTACATTTCCACTCCCTTAAACAGAATCTTGCATTTTAAAGCATTAAATATATGGTATTAGACTACGGCCCATGGTGTTAATGCACTGCTGGATGAAGGCTTCTCCCGTGTCATCTCGGTTATGGGGGTTGTTTGACCTTACATCACCACGCTAATCAGTGCGGGTTGGTGAATTGAGGGGTAGGGCCCAAAACCGGTTCAGATATATCACTCACCACTGATGTTAGCCGTGCCCTGGTGCACTCACCACTGCACCACCATTGTCCACAATAAAATGTACTGTTGGATAACCAAAAACTCTACAACATTAACTGGACACAAATCCTCCCAAAACAGTGGTGCCAATGCAGTCCCACAAACTTTTATCCCAATAAAGGATTCTCCTGAATTTGAGTGTTGAGATCCAGCGAGGCTTTCATGGGT